GAGAGAGAAAGAAAATTACACCTGCAAAAAACCAAATCTTTGGATGATTTGAAAAATGATAATATGGATATTGAGATCGATTGTGAGATCGATCATGAGATCGATAGAGGAATCGATAGTGAGGACGATTGCACGGTCGATCGTGAGACCGAGAGAGAAATCGATTCAATGAGATCGATAGTGAGATCGATCGCGAGATCGCTCATGCGATCTCTAGTGAGATCGCTTGTGAGATTGATAGTGAGATCGACTGTGAGATCGATGGTGAGATCGATCGAGAAGTAGGTAATGAGATCGATGGTGAGACCGATCGATAGTAAAATCGACCAAAAACCCGGGACCCCAAGAATCTCGCCGCCCTCCGAAATCGGCCCGGAACCCGGAACAGGGACCCGGGAACCCGGAACCTGGAACCCGGGAACCTGGGAACCCAGCCTGCCACCAAAATCGGCGGGGAACTTTCGCCAAATCCTTCAACTTCCGCTAGGACCCCTTCAGTGCAAGCACTGATCGGGGAAATAAAGAGAGAGAGAGAGAGAGAGTGATGGGGAAGAGGGAAGCAGAAGAAGAAGAGCACAGAGAAAGAGGAAAAATAGATAGGGACTGCTCAAGCCGTCTTTCTGGTGCTCTCCCTCACCTCACTCGTTTGCTTGCTATATCCATCCCTGCACCTGGCCTCGCATCTCCCGTCTCTGGCTCCCTTCCCAGCTCCCTGCATAACTCCCCCATCGCTTCCCAAGTGCCCCTTCCCTCTCCCCTCTCCCTGCCCTCCCATCCCTCCGTACGCCCTCCCGTCCCCTCCCATGAGCCCCGTAGAATCCTCCAACCCTTCCTTGAATCCCTCAAACACACCTCAAATTCCTGTCTCGCGTCCTCATCGTCGTCACCATCGTCACCATCACCATCACCATCACCATCATCATCATCATCATCATCATCATCATCATCATCATCATCATCATCATCAACATCATCATCATCACCATCACCATCACCATCACCATCGCCATCACCCTTATCATCATCAGCATCCTCATCATACTCATTATCATCCTCATCCTCATCTTCCTCATCATCATCAGCCCTCTCCTCCTCCTCCTCCTCCTCCTCCTCCTCCTCCTCCTCCTCCTCCTCCATCTCATCATCATCAGCAGCAGCATCATCAGCATCATCAGCATCAGCATCGGCATCATAATCATCATCATCATCATCAGCAGCAGCAGCAGCAGCACCAGAATCATCATCATCATCATCATCATCATCATCATCATCATCATCATCATCATCATCATCATCATCAGCATCAGCATCCGCATCAGCATCAGCATCAGCATCATCATCATCATCATCAGCATCAGCATCAGCATCAGCATCAGCATCAGCATCATCAACAACAGCAACGTCAACATCAACTGTATCATCATCATCATCATCATCATCATCATCATCATCATCATCATCATCAGCATCAGCATCAGCATCAGCATCAGCATCAGCATCATCATCAGCATCAGCATCAGCATCAGCATCAGCATCATCATCATCATCGTCGTCATCAGCATCATCATCAACAACAACAGCATCATCATCAGTATCATCATCATGCTCACCATCCATCATATCCTTATCCTCCTCCTCCTCCTCCTCCTCCTCCTCCTCCTCCTCCTCCTCCTCCTCCTCCTCCTCCTCATCCTCCTTATCCTCATCGTCAGCATACCCCTCCTCATCATCATCATTCTCATCCCCCTTGGTTTCCCCTTCCCAATACAACAGGGGTCCAGACAGCTCCCCAGAGCCCCACCCTCTTCACCCTCCTCCTTCTCTCCGCACTCCCCCTCCCGCAGCCCCCAAGCCTCTCCCGCCCCGTCCCCCCAAAAGCCAAGGCCTCGGAGAGCTGCCAGAGCCCCAGCAGGGCTCAGCGCAGCGGGGAGTCGGTGTACAACGCCCAGTCGCCCCAGGCGGAGCCAGTGAGGCCGTCCTCTCCAGGCGGACTGGCAGGACGGAGGATCGGCGAGGATGAAGGAGGATGGAGCAGGAGAGGAAGAGGGAGGAGCCAGGAGGGGGGAAGGAGGAGCAGGGAGGGGGAGGGAGAGTGGAGGAAGGAGGAGGACCTTTTGCCAGGTGTGACCGTACCCGAGGCCCCCCACCTGTGGACTGCTCTCAGAGTCCTGCTACGGAGACCCGTGCGCGAGGAGCGGAGCCCACGCTGTTCCGAGCGGGCCAGAGTTGGATGCTCCGCCTCGGGCAAGCACGAGGGCCAGCGGGCGAGCGACTCACCGACCGAGTCTCCGGCAGGGCACGGGCGGCACCCGGCAAGCCCGGAAGAGGCTTCAGGGGGCGCCAGGAGGTCACCAAGGCGCTGCCAAGACACCAAAGAGAAGGCCAGGAGGCCCTGCAGGCAGTCCGGCCTCGCTCAACAACCTGCGGAAGCCCTTTTGTGTCATGTCATGTGCTCCATTTCCAAGACATGTTGGCTCACGATTGTTCCAAGAATACCTCGTAGACGCGAAAGGACGCCAAAAGAGTCAAACGAAGGCCCACCCACACATCCCAAAAAATACCCGACCCAAGTCAGCCCTAAAGAAGTGCCCAAGACGGCCCAAGAGGGGCCCAGGACAGCCCTAGAGGGCCCAAAATGACCCAAGAGGGCCCCAAGAGGCTCCCAAGACAGCCACACAAGCCCCAAGAGACTCCACAGACAGCCGAGAGGGCCCCGAGACGGCCCAGGAGAGCCCCAAGACAACCCCAAGAGAACCCCACAGAAGAGCAAGATAGCCCCAAGACAGTCCAGTTAGCCCCCGTGAGATAAGACATGTCACGTGTTACAGCCTTCTAGGCGTGCTCGAAGAATCGCCACACTGAGCGCTACGCTGTCAAAGTGGCGAGCCTTGCCGCAGGTAGTCGGATAGGCTTCATGCGTTTCCGAGCTTACGGCTGGTTTGCCAAAGTCGAAGAAGTCGCCGACTGGCTTCTTGATGCATGCCGTTTGAGGCTGTAGTTGCATGCCTCCTGCTCGAGAACAACTCGCAGGCGCTCGGAGTCGCGCGACGAGCTCCGCCTTGGTTCCTGCCGCCATGTGCCCACGACTGCGAGAAAACTCCTAAGCTCAGCCCCCCGCTTCCCGTCGAGACTCATTCCCCTCCGAGCAGCTACTCTCGATAGGTGCGAATGGGGGAGCTAAACTTGATGGCGGTTTAAGCCCGAATTGGTTCAGTTTGAACCCAATTGTTAAGGGAATAGACAGAGCGAACGTTGCAAACCAATGTTGCACCCTCGATTGCTTGTGATGAGCGTAGGGCTCTTGCGGATTATTGCCTAAAGGAGTAACACTCGATCTGAATCAATCTGACCTCAGAGAAATCAAGTGATACTGGCGGGAGCCATGAGGTTATGCGATCTCATATGACCTAGATATGATGGTAACCGCTGGGTGCTGTAGGGGACACGATGGGCCTCTGCAAAATCGGCATATACTACCAGTCAAAGGCGGGGGGATGTCACCGCTTGCAAGACCTTGTCTGCCCGTGCCAGTACCCCTCCCCCGCTCCTGGTAGAGCATACCCATGATGGCCATCATCGCCAGGCGGCCGTTGGCCATCTCCGCGTTCAGCTTCTTCTTCAGAACCTCAGGGTCCGTTGACGTGATCGCCTCGGGCGCGAGGGCGGTCGGCAACGCGAGCTGGAGGTAACCTAGTAGACGAGAAGGGAAAGGGGGAGGAGGAGGAAGGAGGGGAGGAGGAAGAGAGGGGAGAAGGAGGAGGAGGAGGAAGAGGAGGATGGAGGAGGAGTAGGACTTCTGAAACCTCCCATCGGCAGGAGGGCGCCTAACTCCAGGGAGATGTTCCCAATCCCACCAACCATTCGGGGCGTAGGTGGCTTAGGACGGCTCCTCTTCCAACCCCGTTCTTCCCCATAAGGGGTTTGGCTTACCGCTGCTCCCCGATAATGTACACCCCATTCCCCACCTGGCTGGCGACAGACACGGGCAAATCATGCAACCGCCCCCACCCCCACACCGCTCATTGCAAAACACCATACGACATGTACTCTCCAGCAAAATGTGGATCACGACCGGACGCCCCACGATCACTTTGCATTGGTGTTTAACAGGGACGGCGGGGGGCAGAATATTGTCCGCTGTGTGCAATGCCAGCACCCCCCACCATCCCTTTCAAAAAAAATACAACATGCACCTTGCACTAAAATCTAGATCATGCGCGGACGCCCCGCAAAGACTTCGCATTGGTTCTTGACTGGGACGGCGGGTGGGAGAGCAGTTGCCTGCTCTGCGCATTGCTAACAGGAACAATACACTTTGCACCAAAATCTTGACCATGCGCGGACGCGCAGCGATCACTTCGCAGCGGTTTTTGACAGGGACGGCGGGGGGACAGAATATTGCCTGCTGCTTGCAGGCCCACCATCCATTTCAACATAAAATGCAAAGCTCACTCTGCCAGGGTGCAGCGCAGGCCCACCATACCTTCAAAACACGTGTGCAAAGTGCTTGCGGGTGCACGCCCACGCACAACACACAATGTTCGCAAGCCTGGAGCCACTTTGCCTTGGCTTCTGACAAGGATGGTGGGTGGGTCGACATATGGCCCAGTGCGGGGCACCAGGCGCGCGTGGCGCACCTGGCAGGTGCGGCGCACCTCGCGGGCTTCGCGCAACTGACTGGCGTCTGCATTGGTTCCCGAGAGTTATCGATGGCGGCCCCTGCCCATGCTGAGACCCAGATGCTATGTAGCGGAATGGCGGCTGGGAGTGAGCGAGACAGCTTGCGGCGTTCTCGCTTGCAACTTGACCTCCCCCTCCCCCTGGGTCTGGACGGGGAGGGCGGCGACCGGTCAGAGGGCCCAAGATAGATAAGGATGACTCCAAGAGGGCCCCAGATAGCCCAGGATGGCCTCCAAGATGGCTCAAGATAGCGCAAGATCGCTCAAGATGGCTTCCAACATGCTCCAAGGGGTCCCAAGACCGCTCCAAGGCGGGTCCGA